CAAGGTTTTAATAACATCATAATATTAATAAAATGTTCTTCCTTGTAGGAACAAATACGCACAGAAACTTAATTAATTAAATGTAATACCTACCTATATCATAGATAACCACCAGCTGGTGATTTAGGCATTGGGGAAGGATTGAGCTTCCAGTAAATATAACCCTGTGGTTGTTTCACGCCGGTTCATCGGCAAGGCGGTGTCACTTTTAGTACAAAAAAAAAAGGTTTTTTTAATAGGTCGATCGAATCGATAAGTCGTAATTTGGTCAATGTATGATTATTGATGGACATTTAAGTCTATTTAGTCTATTTTTTCATATAGTTTTAAGCTCAGTGCTGACATTAAGTAGGTAGGTAAGTACTTACAGATCAGTGTTCCTTTTTTCAAATTCGGAACATTTAAAAATAGGTAAACGGTTCTATTTATGAAAATTTGAATTTAGAAATGGTTGTTTAAGGTATTTGACGTGACCGTTTAAGTTGCACTACAGTTACCACATGATAATTAAGCCCTAGAGACAAGATAGACTAACTCAGGGAAGTAAATCCACGTGTAAACCACACGTGGCCAGCTATTCTGGAACCATCGAAAGTAACTGTTATATTTACACTTATTTTCCGTTACTATCGTATTTGTCATTAATATGCTTCTGACGTCAAATTGTGAAATAGAATACCTATTTTTATGTCACCCACTTTGTCTATATCAAAAGAGCTAATTTAATATCATAATTTAATAATGAAGAGAAAAAAACTCATTTCAATTCTTTTTTTCATTACCTATTAGGTAATTACATTTACGAAATAAATAATAATAAACATTGACGTCAAAGGTGCGGTCGTTTACATCATTAAATTAATTGGTGATTCTAATTAATATGTTATTCTTTTCCATTTTTGTATTAATGCTAATAATATGATATATGGATTAGTTCAATTACTACATATTATTTGGTGTGGTTTTGTTTAATAATAATTGATTTTTTCCTATATTGTATTATTATTTTTGTGATCGCATTTATACATATAGGATAATGACGTCTACTAGCCTTCGTTAGATCATTGTGTACTATATAATGTATTGAATTATATTGTCATTCGAAACAGGTGAGCTCACATCATTACTTAAATTAGATTTCTATGGGATCATTATTGAAGACGTGACTCAGTATCGGTGGCGGGCCTCGGTGTCTCTACTTGGTCCTTTAATCACAATATTGTAGCTCTCAGTAGAAATGTAGATATTTTTCAGAGTTTTTCATGCCATGAATATTGCTAAAAACAAAAACAACGATAAAAGTCCCATATCAAAATCTGATAACGTTTTCTGGAATACTTACATGTCGGAGTGAATCACTGCATCGCAGATCTGATACAATACATTAAGTTCATAATGATTAAACATATATTATATAGCATTTGATTTTCGTCAATGAAACAAATATTTTGCTATGAATTCTTTGTAACATTAGATAGTTTGCGGTTTATATGTTTGAATTCTATTATATACCTTGAAGGGGTTATAAACCTTGGATGCGAGGTGACGTGAAAGTCAGCTGAGAGGAGACAATATCAGTGTGTACGACGGGGGCAAGTGAGGGTAGCGAGTGGCCGTGACGTCACGGAGCGCCGCGGCCGCGGGCCCGCTGCCACTCGCGCAGGGGCATTGCTCCGCTACGTCACACATCCCAGTACACTGCCCCGCCTACCAAGTGCTCCTCACAAAGCGATAACTGCGCCCTTCCCTTCAGCTGACCCAATTCCCCCACCGAATCCACACAAGACACGAAAATAGGTTGCTCGCTATTTACATCTCTAAACCGTCTATCGAACAGTAATGTTGAATATTTATTCTCGTATAGCAGGTGCAACGTATTTACACTTGCCACGAAATGCAGATTTATTTTTAAAGTAATCAGAATATTAAATTTGGTGTATTGCACTCGTAAATTGAGCATGACAAAGCTATTATTGTGAACATAATGTGCCTACGCATTATTGATAATAAAGAAAAATGTTGTTTTGTATATTTTAAGGAAATTTTATTTTATGTTTATGTCATCGCTGTAAGAAAATCAGGTACCTAGTGAAAATAAGCAAGTCAATAAAATTTGAGATAGGTATTATCATATAGACATACATAGATATACTAAACCTAGAAACTAGTAGGTAGCAAACATAAAAAACACGAAGATTTCTATCACTTCAAACTGAAAACGTTGAATTCAGATTATGTTATTTTTCATTGACTTTGATTTTTTGTGTGTTAAACTGTGAATAATAATTATAGGCAAACTAGGATGTATCCAGTGGATAAATCGCCTCGTTGCGTAATAAGGTTTCCTATATCTCTCTCCATATTGAGTAGACAAGAGATCATATTAAAAAAAAAGTTTTATCAGGGAACGCCACTAATTAGACTCTGGCAAACGGATTAATCAACCGCGGCTCCTGTTTGAAGCAGCTGAAAAAACATGATGATTTTAAGTTAATAAAGCCTGACTTTCTCTTGATGCACCTAGGGAGAGAAAAATTAATTTATGATTTTTACCCCCCAAAAAAAAAAAAAGTATGACAGTTACTGGTTAAGCAACAGTGGAGTCGTCACCACATGGTCTATTATTTTATAATAGCGACCAGCTCCGGCTTCGCATGATAAATTTCCCCACTAATTAATGAATGCTATTATACATTTAAACCTTTTTTCTTCAATCACCATATCCAATCATATCGCGCGGTTTCTGCTCAGCTCCATGTGATCGTTGCGTAGTTTTATAGCCTATAGCACTCAGGAACATTGTAGCTATCTATCAGTGAACAAATTTGGCAATCCAACCAGCGGTTCCAAAGCTTTCCCCTTCATACAAACTTACAAATTTTACCTCTTTATAATATTAGTATAGAAAAACCGCATCAAAATCGGGTATTGAGTACTTTTAATGATTTATGCATACATAGGGACACAGGAGAGAGAAGAAAGCGACTATGTTTTATACTTTGTACTCTTAAATAATCTAATTTTAAAATTTGTCTAACCAAACACCGTACAAAAATTTTGAATGTTTACTTTTAGGCTGTAACAGGGAAGAGTCATCGTAATGAGTCCACGTTATCATACTAGTGGAACAGTGAGTCAGCTTTGCGTGTACCGGTACACGCACAGAAATCTTCAACAATTAATTAATTTGTACTTCAATTAAATTCCAGCTCAAAGGTTACAGCTTCCTGTTAGTTTATAACAAAGTACAGGATCTATAGGAATATTTAATAAGGGGAATAATTTTATACCTACTTATTATTATTATACAATACGTATACTTGCGTATATATCCGCAGTAATTTATCAGTGTATAGGTAAATTGTGAAAAGGAATTTATTTATCAGGAATCCCATTAAAATTCCTTTAACGTTAAGTCATCTCAACAGGAAACCGTAGTTACGTCTATAGTTACAAAAACCTTATAAGTACCATTTTCCGTATCTACTGTTACTATACACCATCAGCCTATAAGTGCCCACTGCTGAGCAAAGGCCTCTTCTCACACGGAGAAGGTTAGAGCATTAATCACCACACTTGCTCATTGCGGGTTGGCGATTACAAACCTATAATTAGAAATTATATGTCCAGGTTTCCTCACGATGTTTACCTTCACCGTGTGTCAGTGGTGTCTAAATAATCATAGAAAGTACACATAACTTGGAAAAAGTCACATTGGTACTTGCCAGGTTTCGAACCCACACCCTCATGCTTGAGAAGCGGGTGCCTTAACCTCGGGGCTTCCACGACATGTACTGTACATACGAACAATAAGTAACTGAAGTCAAGTAATTTTGTTACTACCTAATACACATTCGTTCACTGGATATTCAGAATCACCATCAACAATTATTATCCTGCTTAATCGGCTCTTAGAAAATCGTGAAGAGTAGATATGTACCTACATAAATGAATCTAGATAACGTTGGCTCGAGTTCTCTTTAACCCAGTGAAATATAATTTTTGACCTTCTTTCTGCACAGCAGCACTCACTTTTTAACAATAAGCCACTTTTTTGGTTAATATTAGTATCTGATTATGTTTTTCGCTTGTTCAGGCACTGCTCATGTGGATGCCTCAATCCATCCTGGTGAATCGGTCCAAAAGAGTTGGTACTCGGTAGTTTATAAAACTCTTGTTATCCTACTGTTCTGACACACATTGATTTCGTGTAAACTACTTTCTACAATTAGCACTAGAAAAAAAAATTTCACATACACACTTTCCATTTTACATTTTCTTCTCCATATTAAAACTCATTAGCTCTTTCTTAGTCCTCTAAAAAAACACTGCAACACAAAGCACAGTTTATTTTCGTAAATGACCATGAATATGATTCATTTACCTAATTGAATATTTTTTCCTTTTTAAAATAAACTTTAATACTTCCAATCATATAGGTATGTACAAAGTCCTTTGCTCCTAGTCCTAGTCCTTATTTATAATAAATTAATACAATTATGTTAATAATCACAAATATTGTTTTAAATTTAGTTTAATTTAATTTTAGTTTAGTTTAATTTTGTATAGGTACGTGATTCAAATACATACATTTGATTCTTAGTTTTCCAAATACGAAAATGAACGGGTCTGATCTATACTAATATTATACTTACAAATATGTAAGTTTGTATGTAGGGGGTAATCTTTGGAACCGCTGGTCGGATTGCCAAATTTAATAACAGCTATATTGTTCCTGAGTGCTAAAGGCTATATAACACCACGTTACGATAAAATGGAGCCGAGCAGCGGGTAAAACTGCGCGAGAGTTACTGGTGTGTAATAATTTATTAAACATTTTTGGTAGGAACAAACCTCCACTAACGGAAAATTTAAATTTGAAATTATAAAAGTAACTTTATATGGATTTATTAAAATAAATATCTTGACCACAATTTCAAAGAAAAAATAATGATAAATGAGTGCTTTTCATTTAAAAATATTTTATTTTTTTGTTTCAGCCCTCCGGCTTATTAGAGCATCCGTTATCGTACAGTTGTATGCAGGAGGTATACTGTATCTCGCGTTGGGATCCTGCCAGGAAGTACTGCCTTCGGATAGTAATGCCTCATGGATCTCTTCTATTGCAGGTACGATTCTGCCATAAAAGGTCTTAGAAGTAGTTGGGTTACTCCTGATATTCTCGTTTAGTTTACCTAACAACATTATAATTAATAATGACGCTTGTATTTTGTAGGCTAATGATGCATATACGCGGGACCAGTGGTATCATTCCATTATATGGAGGGTGAGTTCACAATTATTTCCTTCCTGTTGTGGTTATGTTTAATTGTTTACTTTAGCCAACATGTTCTAATATACACATTCATTTTGCAGAGAAACATGATACGTTACAAGAATTTCCTGACAAAGACTGTAAGAAAGGAAGTCGTTTTGAAGGAATTAAAGGTAATTATTAGTTTTATTTGCGAGGATTCTGTCCTTTATCAATATAGAATGTGTATTCGTGTACAATATCTATAAATACAATGTATATTATTCCAGAATATGGTGGATTTCGTGATGACTACGCCTTTGCAAGACGAAAGTGTGACTCGCGCGCCTCTACAGATCCTGACCGATTTACTATCAGAGGTAAAAAACTTTATGCAAATAAACAGAAATCACGTACGTCTTCGTAAGTTGCTGAGCAAAATAGACGTGAATAAACTTTAATCTTATGTGCGAGGTGTGAAATCTGCTACACACATGAGCATCTTGAGTTCGATGAGAACAGTGTGCTACAATATATGTATATTGTATGAGTTCACTACATGAAATGTGATTCGTGATCTCCTCATGTAATCGATTGACGTAGGTACTCGATATCTAACACTAGGTACTTACACCCACATCTGCTATTCCATCGAAGCCGCTACTCCCACAAATATTTAATATTATAATCTTACTGAAGAATGAGCAATTTCACCATTCATGACGGATGCGGTTTGTTTCTTGTTCTTATCATAGATCATGCAGGGCGCTCGTGATCAAATATTGGCATTCGTATTACTTGTAGTCCTCTACATCTGATATGCGTGTAGGATGCATAAATAACATTTGCTCAAAACATACATTGTACGTTTATTAACAAATCGTTGATAATGACGGATTCGGAGACCAGTGACTCTACTAAGTAGCAAAGATAAAAAATAAAAACAACTTCAATCGTTCGCTTCATATACATTTAAATGCACAATTTATGTGTTTTGTTGTAAAGAAGGAAAATATAAAATATAAATCAAATGTTGCAGGCATTCCATCATGGATCAAAAGATACAAAAAATATTGTTAAATATTCGTCTAATGAGAGCACAACAGTAAATTAGAGCATTATGATCCATAAAGCGATTAGCGAGAAATAAAAAAAAATAAACTCTGCCTACACACACACACACACACTGCAATGAAACTAGGTACAAAATATTAGTTACAGATTTTCATTAAATTCGAATTCATTGTATGGTTTACGGACGTCATAGCTGTCGAGCCATTAAATTTTCAGCATGTACCTATGTAACAAGTACTTGTAGACAATTTGGCAAGGTTATGAGTTAACGTCACTGTGCGCTTATTTACTGCACTTCTAAACAATTTATACTATACAACGAAGGAATATATCGCTCTTGAAAGAGTTTTACTTCTGGTTGACTCATGCGCACGAGTGAGTGTCCGTCTGCCAAGTTGTTGTTTGTCAAACAACTGCTTGTTGTGAGACATTCTGACTCAAGTGTTGTTAAATAAATTCATCCACTTCCATCGTGCTACGAGGCTCGGTTCAACAACACAGCTCTCTTTATCATATCCCTCACAACACTTTCTGTAGCGGCTACTAATCAAGGAAATTCGGTCAAATAGCTTTTAAGGACACGAAAGTAAAGTAAAACTTCATTTCAGGTCACGTCTGGACCACTTTTTCTTTCGTGACGCACAACTTACCTAACTCAACTGTCAGTGAATAAACAAAAAACGAAATCTGAGTGAGTCATGAGTGATGACCGATGAAATTTGCAACATTTTCAGAATAAAGAAAGTGAAGATTGGGAGGAGTGGGCCGAGATGGTTACGAGTGCTGCGGCGCCGCTGTTAGCGGAGCGGTGCGCGGCCGGCGACCTGTGCGCCTTGCTCGCACGCCTGTGCAGGAGACGGCCCCGAGCGGCACCATTACCTGCGCTCGCGCCACCCGTACGACGGGTCCTCACTCGCAACGTAGACTTCGCCAGAGCCCCCAATGGCAGACGGCTCGTTAGAGATTATATCAGGTAACATTCTACCACATTTCAGACGACCATTACATCTATTAGAGTATTAAAGCAAATGTATTTTATGTTGCATTATCATAGATAATTGCCCCTACAATAACCGTCCGCAGAAAAAACATTACTAAACAATAAGTAGTAATATTTTTAAACAATAGACATTGTATTAATTACGTCAATCGGCATCCAAATCTAATAAACATAGGAAAATAAAATATAAATTGTTTCTACAATGCTTATAATGCCTTTAAGCTTACACTGCTTGTTACCTACAATATTATGAAGTATACGTAACAGTATTATTAAGGGCAACAATGATATTGCTTAACGTGATTGTATGTCTGGAACAATCACAAAGGGCATTGACCCGCTACGGTCAGAAATTAAAAAGAGGATTTATTAAACTTCTATAATATTTTTTTTGAGAAAAATATTTTTTTTATCTAATTATATTTATTTAAAACTAGCAGCCCGCCCCCGCTTCTCCTGGCAATAACAAACATAACAAAAAAAGAATTAGCAAAATTGGTCCAGGCGTTGTTAAGTTATGCGCTTACCATCACATTTTGTGATCTATTTTTATATATATAGATAAAATCAACTTCTAAATTCAAACCAACTTCTAAGAGTTTACAACTCTTTCAGTTTACGGGAAACGAAACGAAAATGCAATCATTAAAATTTACGTCTGTTTCGCGCAGTCGCTGTAACAGCTGGAGACAATTGTGATTTGATGATCTAATTGTAGTTGCGTAGCCCCGTTATTATTTGCAGTTAGACTGTTCACAGGGAACATAAAATAATGTTTCCAGTGATGCTAGTGACCTGCATAACATTGTACCAGCCTCGTAACCTCATTTGGTTACAATACACATTATTAATTGCTTTCAGCAAAACCAATCAATTCGAGTAGATACTTAAGTGACGTCAATGGATTTTACGATAATTCTACAGCTATAGATAGTCTTCGATCTCACCCGATGTGGTGGAACCAATAAGGTTAAAAGTACAATGACAACAAACAATAATCAGGTCGCTTTGCAGATCCGGTAGTTCTTATTACTTGTATGTTTGCGGTCCATAGTCCGATATACCGATCACATGAAGCAGCACAATTCGATATTGATTTATGTATAGAAACTGGGCATAAGTTATTCATAATGTACATGGTATATAAATAGCGCACCCGCGAACCAGACGGACGAAGTCTCTATTTTCGATCCACCCATTTAGCCGATATAAATTTATTAGATATTTACCCAAACGAAGCTAATATAAACATGACATATCGTGGTACGGTTGTACGTGAATTTATAGTGAATAATTAGGTACCTACATCGGTCAATTGATCAAAACGACTGTCATTACGGGTTCTAATCAAATTGAGACAGTGGAAATGTTGGCTGATTGCCAGTTTTGCATCCTCTTAGCACCTACATAAAATTTACAATTTATACGGACGTCCACTATTTCTTCACCGCTATGATTAAACAAAGTTTTTTTCTCCTGTCTGCAGTGCCTTGAGCGCGCACAACTCAGGCAGTTCCCTAGTTCGCCGATTCGTTGAAGTGACTCATGGAAACCGCGCCACGTGTCCTTATCCTCGAGCGGCTCCAAACCTTGCCGCAGTCGCCCTGGCTGCGTTGGATGACCACTACCGCGACTCTGCTACCCCACACGTCTGCGACGAGTCCGAAGAAGAAGTCCTATGTTTTGCCGATATCTTGGAACATATGTAAGTTGCATAAAAATATAAATTATAAAGAATGAGAAAGACTTCCAGTCTCGAGGCCAATAAGCACAAGATATATGTGGGTAGATGAAAACTCACTTGTATTTTTCATTTTCAGGTGCGAGTATGAAGATTGGCTCGTCGTAGTAGGTGCTGTACTGCAACCGGTTCCTTTATGCGCGGGCGCTATGAGCTGCCCCCGCGTCGCAAAGAGGCTAGGAAAACTATTGAATGCGTTAGCACATGACCCGCGCTGTGCGGCGCACGCATGCGTGGCTCCCGCCCGAGCTGCGAGGCTCTGCCCACCGTCCTGGCTGAGAGCTGCAGCGCCATCTGACCCGCTGTTAGCTCTGCCAAACGAAGAATTATGTCAGATTTGGGGAGATATGGTACTAAACATTTACACATCTGGAGTACTTATTTATATTTTTAATGGTAGAGATAACCTAATTAGTTATTTTTTTATTTCTAGTTGGGAGGACTTCTCAATTGTTGCTGTAAACGGAAAAGTTTTCTGCAGAGTATGAGCAAACAGCTTCCCGATTTTGTTCTAGTCGCATTAACTGCTCACGTAAGTACCGATTCCTATTGTTCACTAAGTAATATGACCATGAGCGCTATTAATTCACTAACCTAATTAATGGTTTTCCTTACAGCCAGCTGCTATAGAGGCTCTATGTTTATTTTTGGAATGGGAGGTCACGACTGGAGAGCAGACTCAATTGGAAGTTATTGCTACGTTACAAGGCACCGAACTTGGCCAGAAATATTACAAAGATCTGTGCGAGAGACAGCAAAATCTTCAACGACTGGTAAGTTTTAAATAAGTAAATTTGTTTTAAGAAAAACATTAATGCCATGTTTTAGTAATACCTTCAATAACTAGTAACTACCAATATTATTAAGTTAATTTAAAATAACATCGATTAACTTAAAAAAATACAATGTAGTGTATATATTTTTAATTTAAATACTTAAGATAGTTTCGGTTCATGTATTGCAAAATTTTAAAAATAAGTACCATTTATTTTTAATTCCAGCAATCAGAAGGTGGTCCTCGCCGACTGGCGTTGCCAGTTCGCGCGACCGACGCAGATGTCGCGGAACTATTGGACGCCGGCGCTCTCGGCAACCTTGAGTGCCTCTCCCTTGCTTTTACCAGCGTCACCAGCGCCTGTGCACATCACCTCATTAAGGTATGACGCATTATAATACCATATCTGTTTAATTCGACTAAGCACTTACCTGCAAGGCTATTTCTTACGATTAAGAAATAAGTACTCGGCCTTTATTTCTTTCAATCTTTAGACCTCTGAATATGTCAAAGTATCATTTTTTATATTATACCGTCTCTTCAAAATTTTTATTAGTAAGACCGTTAAATATATCAAAATAAATACCTCAGCATTTTTTTGGTAGATATTTAACTTAGTAGTGCCATTTTATTTTAAGTAGGTATATGTACTTTAAAGTCTTTAAAGTAATAAAGAATTTTGATGAGTGAACTTAGCATAATTTGTGTAACAAAGCCTGGTTTAAGAACATCTCATTTGAAATATAATTTTACGTTTATAGTTGCCATCTCTACGCTACTTGAACCTGTGGGCGACCAAGTTTGGCGACAGCGGTGTGCAGCTAATTGCTGAGCATCTTCCTAAGCTTCAGGTCCTTAACCTTTGCGAGACGCCCGTCTCCGACAAGGGAATAGAGGCATTATCAGGTGAATATTAATATTGTTTTAAAACCTCTGGTTATTTAGCTTTTTGTTAGTTTTATGTGCATTCTATAGTTTTAAAAACGTTTTGTCAGATGACCCACTTTTTATCAAACGCATTAAGTATAATGTTCCTCTTTTTCCAGGTCTCTCCAACTTGAGGCGTCTTAATCTGAATAGTACCAAGTTATCGGCCGAAGCATTTGAAGTTCTACGCCAGCGCCTGCCCCACCTCCAGGAGTACGATATACGGTATACGGAGGCCTGGTGACAGCGGGCTGCCGCCGGCGCCCGGACACCATCAACTTCCACCATATAAATTCACATTCGATCTCAACGCGCTTTATCCCAGTATTACAATGTTCAAATAAGTTAATCCACACGGATACAAATATCCAACTACCGAATATTATTAAGATTCTTTTTATTTACTTACATTCAATATTTTATTAGTTTGTAACTATTTTTCACGAGTTATTTCATAAGATTTAAATAGAAGAATGTAGATTATAGGTAGATAACATTATGGATTCGGTATTGATATTACTTTACCAAGTTTTTTAACATTGCATTTCATCTGAATATTCAGAATCACAGCAGCCAGAGTCACGTTGCCACATACCAATACATACCAAGTATTGTAGTCTGGTGGTCGATGTATGAACTCACAATAATGTCATTAGCCGACTAGTACCTATGTTCTTTTATCGACCTCTATTAAAGGTAATCAATTCGAATTACACTTCGTTAGGTGGGTTAATGTTAATTTAGTGCGCACCCAAACAGGTGAAGTCGCGGTCCAATTTTGTTTGTTCCTAAATATTTGGACTACAAAATGAAACCAGCATTTGTTTTTATTAATCTGAACTTAGTTTAAGTTTACCAAATGTTATAAAATGTAAACATTTAGGTCTGCCATCCATGTAAGCGCTTTAGTTTAACGACAGCCACTAAGTAATGTTATTTAAGACTATTTATTTATTGTCAACACCAGTTTAGATAATAAGATATGAATAGGAACCTAGTTAATAATATTGCTTTAATTTAGTACTGTAGTAGGTAACTATGTGTTAGGAGTCTTTGGGCTGTGAGAAAGAGAACCAACCGGTACAAGCGTAATTGTGGAGAGTTAAAATGTTTTTTATTTATTTATTGTTTTTTTTTATTCTTGCATTAACTGTATTTAGCATAATCCCTAAAGTCTAAATTTAATGTAGATATATTTCAAATTTATAGTAAAAAACAATTTAAATATTCGTATACCTAAATGGTTAATCATAATAATTGCGCATGAATGGTTAATATTTAAAACTATGTAATGTACCTACCTACCTACCCATTTAGTTATTTTATACTAATACATTATCACTGAACTATTCGTCAGTACGTTAGATACATACTCTTACGAAATGGTTTTTATCATGATTTCCGGCCTAATACTTACATTTTACATATTAAGCTGTTCCATAAAAAAATACCTACAAATGAAAAATTCTATTAGTGACAAGATGATGATGAGTTATTTGTAAATTTGGTATTTTAGTCTGAATGAAAATAGAACTCATGTTATTAGAATATAGGTAAGTGAGACACAACTCAATTGTTTGTGTACTTAATTGAGGCAAATTCGTGTCCCCGGAATTTATAGGCCGGAAACTGTTAGATAACATATGAAATGGTCCTATAAACACTAATTACTTTGGAATATAAGAATACAATCCACATTTTAGATAATCACAAACGTAAATTTGCTCTGTAAATGACTCTTAATATCGCAAGATCTTGCACACAAGTATAATATAGTTTAACGAGAAGTGAACTGAATTACTGTTATTGAAATTATGTCATATAAAGAGATACAAGACTTATCCACCGTGCGAAGGCAGAAGTGTGAGTTTTTAATAAAATATTAAAACATACGTTCGGTATTTTTATTTTTAACAACCTACGTCACTCATTTATTTCAGTATGGAAACTATTTTTCCTGTGATGAGTGTCAATTTACCCCTCTTTGTTGCTATTGCTCCAGAAATCAAACTTCCACATTGTATTTTTACCACGTAGTTTCAAGCTACCTAACAACCTACCTACCAACCCATTTTAAAAGACATTCTAAAATTGAAATTATTATTTATTTGTTGAATTTGGACGGAACGATCTATTTTCTACGTTTTATGTTTAATGTCAATTTTAATTTGCCTCATCTTCATAAAAGCAAAATATAGGTATTTGAGGCCGCATTAAAGCACATGCGTGGCATCGTGCAGCGCGTCTGCGCGTCTTGCATTCGTCGTACATTGCAGCAAAAACCCGCGTCATCTCTAAGCAAAAACAAACATATGAACATTTGTGGGTTTTCACATAAAAATGTAGACAAATATTTAGGTAATTCAATAATTAATAAAAACTTTAAATTTAACAATACATATACATATAACTATTATACACAACTATTATATCTACACTTAACTATCTTACTTAATACTTACGTAGATAAGTAGGTACGGTAAGTAACGAAAATTGTGTACCTTATAACCTTAAAACTATAATTTGAAAAGATACTGACGGGTGATACCTCATAAAGTTTCTGGTGCTGTAGCTGCTAGTACTTGTAGATTTTGAGATATTACAAAATTTTCAATCGGTCTAGTACAAGACTCCTGTCATCGAAATCTTCCTTCCCTTTATCCATCACACATTAAATAGTGAATCGGAAACATGATGGCACACGTTAGCGCACAATTTCTCACGGTGTTCCTCAGGGTCAGTATTGGGACCTTTTTTGAGGGGGGAGATTTTCAATTGGCTTCTCGCGCCTTGGGTGAGCCGAGAGGGAGTGTCATACTGACTTTCTCATACTCTTTACTGACTAAAAATCACCCTGTTTCTCCTTCTGATCTAGGCCACGGCCGCAGTACTTTATTGCGCTTGTTCCGCAAGCCCGGCTAGCATACCATGTCTCACGGTGTTCTACAGGGTTCGGTATTGGGACCTCTCACGTGGAATATAACTAGAGGTTCTAGCCGTTTGCGTGTCATCTAAGGAAATCTAAAAAGCACCTAATAGAAATGGGTAGCCGGCACGGAACTATTAAAGGTAACCAACCACGTAAAAAATACAAGTAATATTTACTAAGGAATATATTTGAGTAATTTTCTAAATACTATAGTATGTGTATGATACATAATTCTTTACCTTAATTTTATACATGTCTCCATCACTTTTGAATTTATTATCGACTTTCGTAATAGGTGTGGCTCCATGGTAATATACAAACCAAATTAATACCATATTTATATACAAACCCAAATCTAACAATAACTTATGCACTAAAGTTGATTATAAGGATTCGTATGTGGACCATACAGTTAAGCATCAAATAATTTAACATAATCCTTAGCAGTGATCAGTAATCCACATTTAGGTATTTATGAATCACATTAAAATGACAACACAATATAAATACTCATCGTTTTTTGTTATATTTTTTTACAAAAGTGTCGTCGCGCATTAAAAATGGAATACAAATACAGAAAAATTTGCTGTTTTTTCCGTATTCCGCTAAATATATTTAGAGAATATCTTCTCGTCTGTTAATGGCTATATTAAAAATGTTGCACTTGTAAATTTAAAAGTACGAACTAAAAATTAATTAATTTAATTAAAGTAAACAAACCAACTATCTTAAAGTTTACTGGGATATGAATCTCGTTATCTCTTGCGCCATTAAAATGGCTTCGCGCTTTAGCTATTAAAGCCCAGATGACATATTGTTATACCTTGAAACTAAAATTCACCGGCGATCATGTAACATGAATCTAATTCGGACAAACATACAAATATCTCTCTCCATATATAAAAGTTACTTATAGAAATATTTTATAATCAAAATTACCACAAACTCGCACTCACACACGTGCAAGAAAATGTCCAGGCTCTTACTACGAACTTAATTCATTCCGACTACAAACATTCCACACTCAATTCGAATAATTAAATATATATAACAAAAACCAAAAACAATTATAGTATAACACCAATGTGCATTATATAATATAATATAAGGTACATATGATAAATGTGTATCCAATTAATAACTGAAAAGCAGATCAACGTACATACGAAACACTAATAAAATTTTCAACAAACATCTCATTACTGCACATTAAAATAATATGCTAACATGTGTAAACTAGTACAGTTGGTGTTAACAACTAGTCATCAATAAAAAAATTGCCCCAGTGTTGCAGACAGTACTTATGAACGAATGTGTAACAGGCATTTCAAATTGTAACATTTATTACATATATTATTTTATTGCAGTTCTATATCACAATGAGTGGAATAACTATCCCTTCGTGCACTCACGTACTGAAAGTGCAAGTAACATTACTGATCGCGCCCAACCACCCCCCAGCCTCTGTCTCCCATATATTATATTTTTATATGATAACAGTAGACACAAATACTGCTTTTCATGTATCGACAATGTCAAGTGTGCATGTTGTTTTATGCTCCAGCTGTACAAGCTCCAACACAAATAAATTTAAACAATAATTTAAAAAAACGTTTGTGCTATATTATAAGTTAAAATAAATTTAGTAACTACACTTAAATGAGAATAAAATCATTATTGAAGGGCATTAGATAATGTTTAGTTGAATAGTTTATTCCTTTCCATGTGTTTGTAGGCTTTATTATGGTAAAGGTACGTAAGTACAGAATAATTGTTTCGTTTCAATATTTCACAAAACAAATTACATCAAACACTTTTACAATTAACCCTTCAGTTTCCATGATTTTATAAATGACTAATATAATAAACATAGAAACAGTTATTTTGATATTCCTAAAAAATACAATACTCCCCAAATTTTTATCTGACAAAGGTTCATATGACTTGGATGAAAATAATTTAATACTGGTTAAATAAAATTATACAGTAAACAACATTATGTAATGATTTATGTATTTGTACAAGTTGGTTTCATCCATAGCACGCACATTACACCTTCAAACCATTATTATAAAACTTTATGTTGCTGTGTCATTCTAAGACTCCTTTTTTAATTTAAAGACGATCACGTTTGTTTATATGGTTTTAGATTTTACAAAATGGGCTAAAAAGTATTATTTTAATCCAACAAAAATTTACCATTTCCTAGTTGCCAACAGTGATGACGACACGCATTTACCGCTATTTAGTGAACGCTGCAAACACCGCCCACATAATTTCGCAGGCATCTGGTCGCATGGCTTCAGCCTCGAAATCTAGATCTAAAAGCGCGCGCACGCGTCTCGTTGCTAACTCATAATCTTCGTCGGAGAGTGGCGCGAACGCGTTTTCTAGCACATCAGCTGAATGGGCAAGCATCAACAGCGCCAGTGATCGCTTATCCGCGTGAGCAACATCCGTGATTGAGCGCCTCAAAGCTGCTTCTTGAACCTGTAATAATAAAATAACAATGAATGTTCAACTGTAACTAATTAATTACACTTTGTTATTATAATACTTAATATATTTTACTACTTTTAGCATAAGATGAAGATGCAGAACAAATCTGAGATGATTATGAAAGGAAACTATGTATTTTTTATTTATATATTCATGGATACCCCTTTCTGTTTAAGTAATGTAATGATATTTGTATATTGTGTTTTGAATGTCTGCAATTCCAACATTGGTTTCATATTGCATTAAGATTGTTTTGAAATTATTGCCTGTTTATGTTTTGTGAAATTAATAGGATTGAATCCACTTGGTAATTAACAAGAACTATTTTACTGAACTGTAAACAAAGAATATGTACTTCCATGTAATAAATAACAGTTACAACTACATTATGTGTATGTTTTTTTTTATCTTTTTACATTATCTACACATCTACATAAGAAACCAATTATATTAATAGGAATCACTTTATCATTTCATGTTTGTAGATAGGAAACTTATTTTTATAATATCTAAATCTAGTAATTTCTTCCACAACCTTGTGGTAGTATGCAAGATACTACAGCCATTTCCTGATATAACAAACATAAAATAGGAGTGTGAAAATGGGTTTTGATCCAATAACAAGTCACTTACTATTGTTTAAAAACTTTACATTATTTAAGGGTAAACATTATCAAAAATCATAGTTTACCTTTTTGACCAGACGACATTTGACAACATTATCAGTCAAAGGATGGGTAGTCATATCAAACAGCAAAAAGTTCTGCTTTTCCGTTGTCAAAACTCCTTTTTCAACGAGATTTTTCGCAAGTCTCTCACGGACATTTTTCAACTGATATTTTAATTTCATTGGGTTCCATGTCTCACCTGCAATGGTAACAATTTACTAGAATTAGAACACTTAAGTTAACAATAACAACATTCATACTGTATGCACAATTGTATAGGTAAGCTCTATTGTGTTATCTGCATATGATTACTTGTAGCACTTGTCATAAAATGTGTGCTATGAAATGTTTTAGGTCTTAGTGTTTTAAAAGACCAAACAAGAATTACACCATTGTGACTAATTTTGTCTGGCTAACAGCACAGAAACTTAATCCATCCTATAGATACTAGATTGAATACAGTCACTGAACCAAGATCAAATCACCACAAGGACTACCCTCAATTTCCTCTCCTCAGTTTTGCCTAAGCTGCCACATAGAATTACTCAGATCAGTAGTCAAGTAATAAGACAAGGTAGTAAGCCAATGTCATCATGTTGTAAAAAAATGGTATATTGTGTGAATGAATGATGATATATGGAAATAGTACAGACCGCTTAGATACTCTATCCAGCTTTGAACTGTTTCTGGTGGTTCGGTTTCTTTCATGTGTTTCAAGGCCTCATCTAGCAATACATCACCTGTGGGTGTATCTGAAATAAACATTTTATATGAATATAAGATAATAGCAGTCAATGAAACATTAGCACATTCATTTATGAGGATATTTTTAGTGAAATATGCTCAAATATCACTTTATTATTATTGTTATTATAATCTTTCAATAATTTTATGATTGAGAAATGTAAAAGCTCTTTCAAGACCAATATACAACAAATGTTGATATTACAAAAAACAATAGAGCGATAATCAATAGGTATTAATTATTTCTACTAATGACTTCATCTACATGATAAGAAAATACATATTTTTCAAATTTATTTGAGAAATATTGGCAATAACCAATGCAATGAGATGGAATAATCAATCAAGACATTTATGACGTAAACTAAAATGCTATAAACATTAATAATTAAATAAACCTTTCTCTTACCTGATTTAACTATAACTTTTCTAGATAACAATCCCTTTCTACGCATACCAGCTCTTTCTAATTCTACGCGGCCTCTCAGGCCAAGTTCGATTAAAATACATCCTCTCAAGCCGCTGGATATGCAATCATTCCAAAATGATGTGTAACCCTGAAATTATCATCATATGAGACGAAATGGTCACGACATTCACATCGATGTAAATGTTTACTTTGTTCCCACGGAACAACTCTTACCTCTTTGTCCTTTAATCCTAAAAGTAGTACTTCTTCCATTAGTGTCAATCGTGTTTCCTTTGAATCCCCGTCATCATAACTTTTATCATTTTTCTTATCATCGACGTCGTGGTTCTCCTTTAATTCCGAATTGTCCTTAATTACGTTCACGTTTCTTCGTTGCACCAACCCCTCGGCTCGATTCATTTTAACATTTAATTAAATAGCAAAATAAAAACAAATTGATTTACTAAAGACGAATATTTAGATATTTTCCAAAATTCGTAAACGAATCGTTGACGTTTGCTTTGCGACGTGATGTTGTTGTGCAAAACATGGCCGACGAAGACATTCCATTCGTTCTGAAATCAATAATTTTAGTAAACTTGATAAATACTACTGAACCTATTTTAAATAATTTATAATTAAGATTAAGTTACTATACTAATTATATATGTATTGTTGATAAAACAACATTTTGATCTACACAATAATATTAATCACGGAATAGATATTAATAGTTTAACTATTAATAGATTTCTGAACGCGATATTTGAATAAAAGGTATGTCAACGCTCTCGGTGAATAATCGTGATCGTGAATCGCGAACACGACGAATGCGTAGATGTAGGTATTCGGGCATATTAAAAATGTGATTTAAACATTCAATAAAGTATGCAATATTATTCATGTATATTAGAAAGGATGATTTTAGTTGACCTCGTGAATATCATATACTTATTGCACATAAATTTTCCACTGTACCTATAAGTATTTAAAAATATTTTTAGCACTTTCTCTTCTGTTCTGAGTCTAATCAAGTCTCGTAAAATTTCTGCTTAAACATAAAAAGTCTTGTTAATCTGTTCGATACCTTAGATACCTACTTACATAAGTAGGTACTTACTGACCAACTACAATCGGATAGAGCCGATCATTTTATCTCAGGTTTGGCACCACTAGGTATGCGCTAATTATTATTGGGTGATTGATTTTCGGCGGGTCGGACCCGCACATAAATGCACACGACGCGGGTAACAAAAAAGTCACGTAAACACTCCACATATGACACATCACTGCTCCACGTAGCATCTTCAGGAGATGTTTACTCGTCGATAGCTGCGCCTCGAAGAACATTGTTAAGGCAACCATGATATTTAGCCAGACGCAGATCACTTAATCTGTTGTGAGAACAGTAAAAAGTAAGAAATTTCAAACGTTTAATTATACAGTTAGACTAAACCGAATGAGAACTGAAGCAGGCTCAGTAAGAATTTACAAAAATATTACCAGGATCAGATGCTTATTGAATCAACTTCTGATAACTTAACATCAGGTGTTTGGTGGGGTCATGGTCCTCGGCCATGAAAGTGTACTACACTTAACATAATAAGTCTTTTTGTATTTACCTCGATTGAGTTCGATTCAACCGCGAATTCGTTTAGCGCCTTACGAATTTCGTCTACTGACTTCAAAGTTGCTAACTATCCTCACTTAGGTATTATAAATATGAAAGTGTGTTTGTTTTTTTTTTACGTCACAACTAACTAACTATTTATTTTTGACTGTTTAGAAAGTTGCAGCTCAGACAACGTTATTACCTATAAATTACTTAATTGCCATACCCAATAGCTAAAAATTTAACTCTATTCATCAAACCCCAGGCGAATGCTGGCTTTCGCATACCTTGTCTTAATATTGTGTCTATTACCGCAATAGAAAGGTTAAGTACTAAGCCGATATATTTGTTGTCGCCATAACAACAATTACAAAAACCATACAACAAACGTGATTTTGATACGGGGGTCCCGTAATTGTGTTGTAGGTATTCATCGGTTTTATACACAGACGATGCCTGGGTGAATAGTCAGTTGAGCTATAATTACGTGTTCTGAATATTTCTATTAAAGATCAGCTCCAGATATGTGCTACCACCAACACATACACCGCGATATATTTGGCTAGTGCATTCCACAGAAGGTCAAGTCAATTTCACAGAACGTTGCTCGTATAATAACATCGCATCTTTTAAACTTCCAAAACATGCATGAGAAAGTTTTGAAATATTATTTTTCATATTGTTCTAGCCAGGTTGCCTGTCACCCCATGAGTCTGACTCCCTCTATACGATATACTGACTCCACAAAGGGCGTAGGGCCAATAAAAAAGGGATTTTAGACTTCGTAGCACGGAGAAACCAACTAGCTTCAGTAAGAGGACTGACCATAGCGTATTAAACTGACTAATTAGTATAATACGTTCATGGGACTGACCGGCTGACTGACACTTTTTATCTTCAAACGTTCAAACCCTCTGTAATTGAAATAAATGACTTAGACTTTGAGAAATTATTACAAAACTCAAATTACTACATAACATAACATAACCTTACCCAGGACCGGAGTCCAGGTCTTGCTACCACTCAAAAAACAAATCAGAATAACATCTAGGTAGATACATTAACATTTATGTATGTAAGTACCATATTTTTACGATTGAAATTAGGTATTCATGAAAATGGTCGAATGCGAACTTTGGATTTGTGATACACATCAGAGATTGTATCAGTTGAGTTGCGATGTCAATAGTTCTATGTATAGAACACTAGAGAGGATTGGCAATCATGCGAAATGAACCCACTGCTGGGACGTCCGGTGCAATGAGCTCAACGAGGGACTGATACCAACGGATAAGGGGATTAGGGGGGTTCCTTAATACTAGACTAACGATAATTAGGTAGGTACCGACATTCTCTCACGATTTGGATGAACGAAGAATGATGGAGCAGAAGACTTTTGTGAGTATTTTCATATCTCTAGATTCATAGAGATATGAAAATACTTACTCCCAAATAATGTTACTAATAAACCAAATAAATAAGTATTTAATCTTGACCTTGAAATAGATACATATTATACTGATGATATTTTAGGTATCTTGCACCTATCGGTAGGTAACTGGTATGAGTAGTTCTTGGTGAATTATATCGATAAAATCATTTGGAAATGATTCATTTTACTGTGATATCATCAAACTTTGAATTCTTAAAGAAACTTGATATTTAAACCTAATAAGCACTTTGATATAGTATTCATTCAAACATATGGAGATAAACTCTAGTCGTCGTCATCATAGTACCTACCACCAGGTAATGGACTGCAACGCTGCATTTGTCGAAGTTAGGTACATTTCTCTTTCTATTCCGAAATTCTTCTTCCTATTCTGAAAGTTCGTTCTCAAAGTTGCTTTTCAAACTAACTCTTAATAATGAAGCTCAGCCGGAGTTTCGGGTATCTACAAGTGTAATGTGCAGCGTCCTCAGCTCGGGGCATCAGAAGAAACGGTTTGGTCTTTAGTCAGTTAAGAGTCAAACACTCTCTCGCTCACATAACCCAGAGCGGGGGAAGAAAATTGATTTTCTCATCAGAAAAAAATCTGAATCTACTGTGATATTTAAACTAACACCACCAGGCGATGGGGGTATTGGGGAGAATTACACTGAGTAATTTTACATTTTGGGTTTTGGAATTTTGATCTGTTTTAAGGGTGACTTGCGAAGTGAATTTATCAGTGCTAAAATGGCACTAAAGTTCATGCACCTACCAATGTCGGGATAAAAAATTTAAGAGTAAGTAGTCTTGTTACTCTCTGAAAGTAATCTTTCGATTGGTAATTTTTGTCTATTAGTGTTAAAGCCTATTTAGTGTAAATAAACAATTAAATCTTTCCTCTTTAGTAAGATCATAGAGTAAAATAATAATACTAAAAGATGATACTACTACTGAGTACGATATAAGTAGAGACAAGATCTCCGCTTTTAAACATAGGTCAAAGTTCAAGATAAAATGTATTGTTTAAGATTGAAAAATATAAATAAGTATATTAGAATATCCTAGAAACGTACTTAAATTTTCCTTTAAAAGAAGAATCAATACAAAAGAAAATATTACTGACCGTATGCATTGGAAATTCATTGGCAACACGATTGGAAAATGAAGATTTCGAATGATAAAATGAATCTCTATGAATGATAAAATTTATCTAGAGTATATATGACCAAAGAGAAAATTAATTTTAATAAATAAAATTCAATATTTTTGCTTTATAAATGTAAAGGAAATGTATGAGTATGTTATAAAATCCAAAGAGGAAAACCATTTTAAAAAGAAAATACGTCATCAATATATTCTGATGGCAGTAACTTATTTGAAAAGTCACTGTATACGAATTAATTTTGCCTGAATTGTTCAAAACATCCTTAAATCCTCCTGGGGGTCTTTACATAATATGATTACGGAGTAATCCATTTATATGTTTATCAGAAGATAGTGTAAATTACTATATCCACGTTAAGACTGACCGCCTGATGACCTTAATTTGAACTTGGTGAGTATAATTAGAGTTTTCTGCATATATGTAACAAAATAACATACGTATTTACCATTTTCTTAAATAAGGATAGTCTGGCTAATTGAAAAACTCCCAAAAGTATTTAATAATTTCCTGATTCATCAATTTTATCTTCTATATCGTGTTGAAACTACCTACCTACTGGATAGATAGCTCCTACTCTCCTTAACATAATAAAACACCTGCTATTATGACTTAAGTAGGTACCTATACCAAAATAATCTTCATAATATTGATAGTGTTGCGCCGGTTCAAATTAACACATGTAATTCTTCATACTTTCGATTAGTCATGCCTAAATTATGTACTTAACAGGATACGAACGAACGGATATGAATGAATTAATTTCGCCCTTAAATTCCATAAAATTTGAAAGATAAGATAATATTTTGCTTTTAATAAGAAGGCATATATCTAATATAGTGACAATCACCTCTGATTAGCCAAAGCTAGTGTTGTTTATCAGAGCCGGTTGAGAAATACGACGGTCGCGTGTAAACGACGCGCACTCAGTCATCTGCGCGGTCGCTTCCAAGCACGTGCGCCGTGATACTATAAGTGTGACCAGTGTGCCCGACCCTCGCACCATGGACGTGAACCAGCAGCAACAGAATGCAACCGTACGTATTACTGAACATTTCTCAATATTCGCTCTCTGTCCGGCCGTGATCGAATCGACTAATTATGAGCATTAGAACTTTGCATACAATTTGAATGCTATTAGCGCGCGAAAACTGAAGGTGTTTTACCATGTCTTTGCGAACAGTGAAGTGAACTTTATACTCGAGCTGTACGTGGTCGCGCAGTAGGGCAAGTCGCCAGTTGGCTGCGGCACTCGCGTCACCTCGGTCGCCACAATACATGTATTTTCCGTTTACACGACGACCTACACAGGGTCAGCTGTTGAGCGCGGATATCTTTATATTTTTCCAGAATAGTAGTCAATATTGACTAAAGTATTCACATTGAGAACGTGCCATGACATTGCAGTGTAGTACAGCTAAATATAAAGTGCAGTGAAGGATTGTTCTAATATTCGATTTTATGATTCAGTCTCAGTCTAGGTAAGATTTTCATACTAAATTTTAAGTTATTGCTAAGATCTATTAAGCAGCCTCTAATTTCCTGAATGTTATAAACCGAATAATATTTTATTGACCATGAAATGCTCTGTAGAATTAATTGTAGATATTTGTTAATTATATGTATTATAAATAGGCTTCGTTAGAGTGTTCATAGTACGTTCGCTGTCGTACTTTATCTGCGCCGAAAACTTGTTGTTTGACGATGTTTTCTGACATAAGACGGCCAAAGTTGACACACGCTCAAAACTCCCGCGCCGAACAATAACCCGTTACACCGTTACTCGGTCGGCTGCCCAAATTTACATAGCCATGAGATGTTTTGCATGTTAAGAACTGTGTCGGCGTCTACCAATCAGCTTCTTAGATATTACACGTAAGTAGCTATTACTTGCATATTTTCTGAAAATTGAGCAACCTCGTAAATTACGAGTTGCAGTAGAATTGTAATGTCATAGCAAACAATTTATATAATTATAAATTTTAATAGCTGTAGGTATTGATGTATAAGTGACATAGGCTATTTTCCTTGTTCTGTCTATTTGTTAAATAAATGTGGTTTACGATATATTTTTGTAGAATAAGCGTACCGAGTTGTAAGTGACATTTGAGTCAAATGTACCTAAATAAGTACGTAACACGTTAAACCGGAACTTAGCAGTAAATGACTTTATGTTAATTTGACGATATTTTTCCTTAATTATGCCAAGCAAACGTTGAAAGTTAACAGATGGATTATAACTTTGCACTTCACAATTACGCACGCAGACAAGCCTATATCACGCCATTCGCTGATAACTGATAACCGCTCTCATTATCAAGCTCTTATCAATTCACATATCAACGAAAAGGTTATATTTATAAACGTGGATTAACCGATATGTCTTAACTAGGCGCAGCGTGTAAGTTAAAACTTTTCTTCAACATTTTGGGAAAATCCTAAAACTAAAACTATATGTATAGGTACATAATATTCTGACCGTAATGATAGATCATAATCGCGTGTCACACATAACTTACAAAACCTTGAATGTTATTATAAATGTTAAAATTATGATTAAATTGTCTTCAAAATATACTTTGTTGTAATTCAAGGAGAATTAGAAATAATTTATCTTGTCTAGCTTAGTTTTTTACATACATATAAAAAATATTCAAATTAGTCGTGGGACTCGATAAAATTACATTTTTATATTTTTATATCGGACGAAATATTGCGACCCGCCCCAACTTCGCATCAATACGTGTGCAATCCTGATACTAAATTTCTCCACTATTTAATGGATGTTACATATAAACCTTCCTCTTTAATCGCTCTGTTTAATGAAAAAACGACATCAAAATCCGTTGTGTAGTTTTAAAGATTTAAACATAGCTAGCTATTTCTTTATGCTAAGTATGTAATTTGTGATTCTTGTTTCACCCAATTAAAATAAGGGAAGTGAATTTTTCAAAACCTCTTCTACTTTTGGAACTGCCTTTGATAAGTTTAAAACAACCTATGCACACAGTTTTATTCAAATTAGGTATTAAAGTTTAAAATTAAATTGTACTTAGGTATATCTTTTATTTGATATTATAAAAAGTGATACGTCTTATGTAATGTGTAAAGTTAGGTATACTGATAACGTGAGATATCTGTGACCCCACACATCAACATCCGCGTTTTATTATATCGCTAACATCTGTAGGTATACTTTCTTCACACATATTTTTTTAAACGTTGCCCTACACTAGTATTTTCTCCTGTGTCATAGGTGGTTTTACAAACATACAAATTCACATACACAAGCCACCCAGGCCCAAAATAACAATTTATGGATCACAAAAGTTTCAAATAAAGATACCGGGATATAGGGATGATGAAATTATTTTGTAAATAATAGGAAACACAAAATATAAATAAATTACAGCACCAAAATTATAGAGGCATAAACAATTAGGTTTTTTAAATGAAAAAAAAACGTTAATGCTTTAAGAGCGCACTATTGACATTCAATAATATAACTTCTCTTGTGTCAAAAACTATTGGTGCTAAGTAACTCGGTACAGTTACGTGCATAACGTGCAATGTTTTTAAAACCCTGCACACGTGTCCGTTAGCATTATTTGTAAATGACATCAACGGAAACAAAGTTCTGAGCAGTATGACACACACACAAATAGGCGCACTAGCTATCTACTCGATACCTATAGACGAAAATAAAGTAAGAACTTACTGTGCAGCAGTTCTGTAGATGAGGTCTACAGAACTGCTGCACAGTTCTGTGCTACCATTCAGCATAAAGGTTAAGATAAAACTACCATCCACATCACACTACAGTAAACATCAATATGAAACACATGCAGGATAGTATGAAAGTGTATGTGGTTGGAAGAAGACATTATAAACACGCAAACACATACACCCCCCATACATTTACTTGGCTTCGGTCGTCAATGTAGGTGAAAACCAGCGATAAGAGCTGTGGAAAGGAACGCCACTCGTAAATAATAATATTTTTTATTCATTAGTTTAAAACCTCTTTCGTGTTTGTTAAAACTATATGTACCTACATTTACAACAAAACCTATATCTTACTATTTAGGGTCATACCTCATCTAATGATGTTCCTAAGATAGTTGGAAGTAAAATGTAGTCACCCCTATTGTGGCCGGCCTGTCCAGTTATAATATAGACCTATGACGCCAACTGGCCTTGTCATAGCACAAAGAGACCAAACCTGAAAGTAAATATCATTTCTTTTGTCAAGTTGAATATATGTTTACTAATTTTAACAATTGTTTGACACCTCATGAAGTCATATTTGAAGGGACAATGGATATTCAGATCAGTGTAAGAGAGCTAGTGACAAGAACAGGTAGTGCTATTCGTTGGGCACCTCTAAATCGGTGATTTTGAAGTGAAATCTTGTGGTATTTGTGACATATTAAATCGATAATATGGTTCGACATCTGAATAATGCGCTTCTTCAAAGAAATGTAAATATTATGATTTTAAGTGCTCTGTTTGTTTGGCAGTTTGGCAAACGTTTGAAAACAATTACGTTGGACGCTAAAATTTTGCGTACTACAAGCTCGTGCTGGCAAAACAATACATTTTTCATATTGCACACATCGTAAAAATGTTTCCATTTCACATTGAAATTTGTTTCTTAAAAATAACATCAATTTTATACACCTCGGCCCACTAAATGATAAATAAATTCGTTTGTACCGGATCGGTTTAAAACAGTTCTTGATCAATGACGCACTTAAATAAAGAAAATAATTGTCATCACCATACAATGTAAAAGATAAAAGGCAAATGTAATTAATTAATGTCAACCTATTAAAAAATATATAAGTCATGTGCCAAATCTAGTTTTAATCAGATAAATAATTGCAATAAAAGCATTGTTACCAATGAATAAACTTAAATTATAATATAATTATTCGTCAGTCTGTCTGTTTTTCAGGGAAGCTCTAATTCCAAAATTAAAATTCGAATAGCTCAAGAGAATAAGGAACAGCGGTACACTTAAAAAAAGTATAACACAATTGACGTATATAATATAATTATACTAAAAGATCAGCCTGTTGCATCCCACTATTGTGGGGCGCCCATAAGTTCAGTGGACATCTGTCCACACTACTACAAAACTGATTCACACTGCTCTAATTAAAATATTAGTTAGTAGGTGACCGTATAAGTAATCTCACTAATTAAATGACAACGTCGTCATTAATGTTTCAATAGATTAATTGATTCTTGTATCATTGTTCAGTGGCGTAATGTCGTTGCAGGCGAGGTCACTGTGTTACCTGAAGTATGAAATGTAACGACAGCTCATAAAACTACTAAGTTCAAGTTAAAAGACCTCCCAATTCACGCAAAGTCTGATTTATGGGAGGTCACATTAGACTGGTTTATATTCCATCAACATTTTTGTCTATGGTGAGGACATTTCTTCACGGTGTAATCGGCTCTACGAGTCATTAAACGCTCGTAATCACTGTCGTATGTCGATACATTACATGCTTACCTAGTAAATTCTCGTTGTTTTCATTGTTATCCAAATTAAACGATGCAAATTTCCCAACTAAGTATATCTACATTAACAGACTGCATTTGGGAATGTTTATCATAGCTATCTTTTCGAAAGACAATTAATAATTTACATAATCGCCTAATTAATATTATCGTACGATTTCTAATTCATTCGTAGTTTCTACATTAAAATACGATTACAATTAAACTATGAATACTTGTAAAAGGAAAGGAAACGAACGTTGACGCATGTTAGCATATTATGACAAGATGATTCAAACCTTTTATTACCGGGTCTGTTGCAGAAAATTTGTTAAATACGCGCGTAGTTTCTAGTCCTTTTTTAGACGAAGCATTGTCCTTTCGTAGACACGGCCGTAGTTCTTTCGTAGACACGAAGTTCTTGCTAACTTGAGTGCTTAATCCTACGCAGACGATGCGTAGTTTTTTCGTAGGCGTCTTGTAGTCGTTTCGTAGACACGTCGTAGTCCTTCCGTAGACTGGTCGT